CTGTTATTTATGTACTACAAATACTTTTACAAAATTTTTAAAACGCGTGAGGCGAGCTATCTACGGCATCGCCAGAGAAAAGTGATATTTTCGGAAGAACGGCGGGGGAAAACAGCTGCCACTTTCGACTACTGTTTACTCGTAATACTGTGCGAATTAAGTAAACGAAAACTGCTCATTTTCCTAACCGTCAAAGGGTTAAACTTCTCAGAGCGTTAAACAGAACATAATGCAAAGCGTATGTGAAGAGCGAAACCCGCACGAAAAGCGAAACTAGCACGGACATCTAACTACGAACTAAAAATTGAGAACTGAATGCTCTCCGCGGTCTTATATAATTTTTCCTTTTCAGCCAGGAAATTTCTAGTGTTTTCCCTTTCTTTAAAATTATTGGAAGGTATATACCGTTACAGTTGCATATAAAGACCGAATACGGTAGCAATTACATATAAGGATCAATTGGAGTCATTCAGTTACAGTACCAATACAGTTATACAAGGACGAACGAAAATGTCGCCAAATGCTCACCAACTATGGCGATTTCTTGCCGAATTTGTCAACAAATATTAGTCGCCAAAACCATTGTCAGCTTGGCAATATCTCAACATTTTCACGAGACAGCCATTTGCATCATTGTATCAATACATTTGTTAGGACAATAAATAAAAATGAAAAGTTACTAAAATTGAAAACTTCAATTACTTGCTTAGCTTATTAGGTGATGCAGCTGTACAAAGTATCGGAGGATTTTCATTATTCCAATAAAAGTGCCACGAAGAGCTTAAAATTCTTAATGAAATATTTGGTCGGAAAACCTTCTTACCAGTTCATACATACATAAACTGCGACATTTACCACCTACCCGAGGTTCGAATGATTTTCATGCTTTGAGAGAAATGTATGATACCCATAACATACAAATAAGATACTAAATTCATTAGGAATCGAAACGGAATCATACGGAAATTTACTTTATCCATTGTTAATGAAATGTGTTCTTAGGGACATAACGTTTGAGTTTGCTCTTCAAAATGCAGATGAAGAAAATTTAATGTCAACGACCTCATAAAATTTCTAAAACTGGAAATCAAAGTCGCGAACGAACTTCATTAAATTTATCTTGCCCTAAGAATTACGCGAATTTGTCTGAAAAGAATTTTATTTTCTTAATGGAAAACGGCCCACCAGCAGCCGAACGGTAAATTCGCTGAACTTTTTTCGGTCCGAGGTTCGAATCACGCGAACGGGCTGGCTCAATAGGCGTTTTCGTGGTTTACCCCACGTGTAACGTGTATACGAGCTAGTTTCCCTTAGAAAGTCCTCCAGGAAGGCATCTCTTCCCTTAGACAGATAGCCCTCGTGTGCTATGACATAATTAAATACGCACCTAATCGAAAACGAAACAATTTCCACGCTTGTAATTTTTCAACTACGATCGGCGCCAGTCATTTCGATAATATACACAAAATTGCAGCTGCTCGACTTCAGCTTGTTTATTCTGGGAACGTGACGGAAAAGTGTGTTATGTCACGGGAAAAGAATAAAAGAGTTTAAGAGATTCTAATCGGTGCTTCTTTTGTTTTCAATGGAAATGCAGAAAACAATTGCCCTTCTCCAATCGAAATGTTCGAATATAATTATAAGTATCGCAACATATGAAGATAAGAAGGCGTTCGATAAAGAATAATTCTAATGCCGTAAACGCAAATATTTCTTATATTTTAATATAAACGAAGAACTAAAGGTGAATTAATTGATGATTTGATGACTGTTAAACGCATTTGTAATGGTAAAATAATTAATGTTGTAACAGATACAGGAGCGAAATAACTGTTGTTAAGACTGATAGTGTACTAGAAATATATCGTTCGCCACATGGCAGTGTTATTCTCACGTCAAGTTTCGGACAAATTTTAAGGGCTTCTCTCACTAACTTCCCTTTATCGAAGTATTCTGAAGATGCTAAATTTAAGTCCCCTATTTTTAAAACATATGCAGTGGTTGATAGGTTATCTAATGATTTGACTTACTTTTGTAGTTAAGTGCTTTTAATGAGTTAAATCGAGATGATAAACAAAAGTTTAATTTTGAACGCAAAAACATAAACTTTATTAATGATAGCTTGGATGAAATGCTTTTTTATGGAAGTGAAAAATTTACGAAATATTTAATCTTTATAGAAAAAACTTATTAATCAAAATTTAAGGCAAGTATTTAGAAAACAATGAAATGTCGTACACTGTACATAAAAAGACAGGAAAAGGTTAATCTAAACATAGTACGAGAAAAAATAACTGTGTTTTAAATCCAAAATTATTTCGAATTTAACAAGAAAATGATCAGTCTTTACAAGCATTCTGGCAAGATGCTCAGAATGGATATTACTGAAAATTTTCTGTACCATAAAGATAAGATTTTAGTAGAAGGTTTCATCAGTTAGTTGTTCCCAAGTAGAGAAATAAACAAATTTTGGACGTAACTCATTTTATCCTATGGGGAGGTCACCTGTGAACTAAGAAGATTGCTGAACTATTGTGATATTACTCCTATTGGCTTGGAATCAAGAAAGATGTGAATGAATAGGGCAACACCTGCCAGCTTCGAGCTAAAAAGCATCATTTGAGGGAGTTATGAAACATTCAAGATAATTAATGTGGATATCTTCGGATCCGTGTAACAAGCTGTCGAGGTTACAAGTGCGTTCTGTGTGTTATTGAATATGTACGAGAGGACCAGAAGCAGTACCACTAAAAAATCTTACGTAAAATCAACATGTGATGTTTTCCTGCAAATAGTTACACTCACGGAAATCCATAAGATTGTTCCATCAGACCAGGGAACTTACTTTACATCGTTTTTGACTCAAGAGTTTTTGAAAAGGATCAAATTTTCACCAAGGTTCTCAACTCCTTATCATACAGGCTGAAATGGCTTTGTAGAAAGATTTAATATTGTTTTGATGAAAATGATACATCATACCATTACAGAAGTTTGACAAGATTCGGAGAAACATCTACCATATTCAATTTGGGCCTACTGAAAAGTTCCTAATGCTACGACTGGTGACAATCATTCCTGATGCTTTATAGAAGACGTCCTAATTGCCCATTATCTATCTGAAAACGTTATGAACTTATGACTTCTATTCTTCATGGATGACTAAGCTCAGTGTCTGGTTATCTGAATGATTTGAAATGAACTTCGGAAAAGTTGATGAATAAGCAGGACTTTCCGGTGTTGGCAAGCTTATGCATTCTACCACAATCGGAAGACTCTTCAAAGAGAAATTAAAGGAACTTAACACATTTACAGTTTTAATCCCTGATAGTAAAAAATAATTTTATATAAGATGGACTGGACCGGCTACAATCATCAAAAAAAGCATACTGATTATAGTTTCGTAGTGCAAATGCCCGATGACGCTTTGAAACACGTTCATACAAAGAAGATACGATAATTCAAGGCAGCTGTGAATAATCGGCGTTCATTATGCAGACATTTGTTTCAGAGAAGTTGTAAAACACATCTTAAGAGTTGTTACACTAAAAGCAGAAGAATGCTATTCTGATAAAGAGTTTGAGCTTAGCACCTCGAACCACGCAAGAGAAAGGAACTCGTAAAAAGTTTAAGAAAGCATGTCAATCCAAGATCTGGTATTCCAAAAGTTGCTAGTATTGGGAATATAGTATCAAACTCAAGCCTGAAATCGTGTCAAAGAACAGTAGCCGTATACGAAGCTTATACCAAAAGCTCTGAAAAATGAAGGTAATTGACAAATAGATGAGCTGCTTATTACGAATATGACTAATTGTAGAATCAGAAAGTGAATATGCGCATCCAGTGGTGTGTCGAAGAAAAACGGAATTGTAAGATTATGCGTGAGCTGCCGCTGAACTCGCAAACTAAAACTGATGCCTTTCCAATGAAAAATACCACAGACATAATTTACTAAGTATCAAATTGACTGACATCAGAATCTGGCCAGACCTGTCAAAGAGTCACCTGACCTAAAATATTTCTCTATGCTTTTATCATTTTTTTCCGCCTATGGATGTTTTAAGTCGTAACAGGCTACATGTGATATGCCATTCCATAATCTGATAAATAAATTCATATGCTTGTGAATTATTCAAAGCATAGTAATTAAAGATTTGTAAAAGAATCATAACGGTTTCAGTTGCAGTCTTGCTCAATGAAAAATAAAACTTTACTTCATAGACTTTTTTCTTTGTGGTTGATTATCGGTTGAGTTCAGTTGACGATGAATGAGGGTATCTAGTCTTTATCAATAGTTAACACAGAAATGACAAGAAGCTTCGTCGCAAATCAACTCAAAGGACGAAAAAATCTACTTTTATACTGCTACTAGGTGCGAGGAATCCTAAACTAATAAAGCCTAAAGGCACGATCCTAATTCTGAAATATTCGCTTAAAAGTATCGTTTATTCCGATTGATTTTGGGTACACCTATGTATGTAAAACACGCAGCTATTTTTGCGACTCCCACTATACATTAATTTGAAAATATAACTTTCCTTAGTAAAGTTTACCTCAGTAAATAATAATATATCAGTTTTATTTATCTTAGAAAAACACAATTTCTTCTATTCAGTCAGTCTTTTTCCTTCCAAATATAACAGATAAATCTTGTTTCGAAATTTTCACTTGCGTGCTTTGATCTTGTGAATGTTTTTTGGAAATATGTTAGTAAATAATAATATTAAAAAGAAGTAAACAGTGCAAACGTAGCATGCACGTATTATAAGAATTTATACTCTCTTATGAAGTATTACTAACTGGATTTCAACGTAACTTTTGTCAAAACCAAAATATTAAGTTTTTCAAAATTAAAGTTTTCCCGTCTTTAGATTTTCACATATTCTCCTAGAAGCTTAAACATTCCAATTTTATTTGTATAAACAATAAATTTTAACTTTATTCTGAAAGAAGAAAGAAGAGAAATTGCTGCACAACAAAACTAGTATATAATATCAACTTACAGCTTTTTCCCTCAGCTTTGCCTCCATCTCCACGGAACAAGGATACTGAAAACAGTTAAGATGAAATAGTTGATTCCAGGAAAAATTTTATACAAATAGTAACTACATATATAGATCACGCATATATACAGGGTGTCCCGATACGTCTTCATGTGACCTTTATTTTTGAAACAGTGGATAATAAACATTTGCTTCCATTTACAAAAATGCTATAAATAGTACAAATATTCATATTATGGTATTTTTATTGTAAAAATTTCAATTTTTTAAAATTTACGATATGTACCATTATATGCAGCTCCTTGGCCCCTGTAGTCACATTTAAGAAGATTTTATACCTGCTATTAAAAAAAAAATACGAAGAAGTTTGAATCTCTCACGACAAAAGTTGACCAAAACATTTAATTTGAAATTTGAAATCATGTTCCGGGATCATACACAAATTGAATTGTTTGCATATGTACGTAATTAAAAATGAAATAAATATCAGTTTTTAAAAGGTTATATTATATAACGATTTTTGCAGAAAAGAAGATCTTTTTCAAAATATTTTGTTCTAGAAATGCCTCATCATGATTTCATCATCTAGCCTTATGATATTGTATCATGATTCTTATTAACCGATATCTAAAAAAAAAAAAAGCAGCTGGAGATGATGGCAGAAATCCAAAATTTAGAAACTAAATATGTCTTCTCAGTTTTGGCCGTACTCCTTTCTTGCCTTTGTGACACCTACTTTTTCTAACGAATGTAAAATATTACTTAACAGTAAAATCAGAATGCCGTATAAGATGTTATATTTTATTTATTTTGCAAACTGCTTTTTAAATTAAAAAATACCATAACGTGTATAGTTTCTTTATTTATTGCATTTTGTAAATGGTAGTATATATCTACAACGAGGGCTTGCGAAAATAAATGCCACATAAGAGTTTTTAAGGACCCTGTTAAATATAATGCAATATACGAATGTGCTGCAACCCTCCTGGCCGATAATAATCGGCCTCACGGTTAACGCAGCACACCCAACACAAAAAAAAACAAAAATACAGTTAAAAGCATCAAACCAAAATTTTAATTCACAATTAAATAAAACTGTGAAATATATCCTATTTCCAAACTATGATAATGGATGTCTTTGGTAAGCTTTTAATTTAAATAAATTAGCGGCAAAGTTTGAAATCCGACACTTTATAAAACGGCTAGGTAGTTTCGGGCAAAGTACGAAGCGCATAAAATTTCACACATTTCCACGGCTTCCTATACAGTGATAAATGACAAACTGGCAAAATTTTAAATAAACCGCCGATTTTCAACTCTGCTATGGCATAAACGTTGTCTTATATAACATATTTTCCTTTATGTATTTAAAAATACTTTTAATGACATTCTTTTATTATTTTTAAAAATAACATTTTCATTTCTATTGAATGCAACTCTTTTAACTAAAAGCCTTAACATGATATTTTTTCATATTATCTTTAAATAGTATTTATCATTCTATAGAATGTATAGGTATTGCATTTTAAGAATGCAATACCTATTTATTTTCTTAAGGAAAGTATATAACATATTGAAATAATTCTCGTACTTTGCTCAAAACTATTTAGACATTCTACGGAATGCCAGCGTTACATATATTGCAGGTAATAATATACTTACATTAGACTGATAAGTAATATAAGTAAGCTTATATTTATTTAATAATGAGATAATTTACTATAACGTAACTTTTATAAAATATAAATTAAAATTAATTCATAAACAGAAATCTCCATTTTATAGCAATTAAGCAAACTGCTGGGGACATGCAATCTTTCTTATTATCCTAATAAAGCTTACATTTTTCCTGTAAGGAATATTTTGCATCTTCATTGTAAAAATGCAAAAATAGTGCCCTTACAAGCTCATGATTTGAAAATATTTATTTTAATTGTCTTGTAAAACCTTTCAGTTACTTCAGCAAAATTCATACCCACGTAAACATTACTACAAGTAAATCAATTGATTATAAAGTGAAACCTTCCTAAAACAATTAACTACACAATTCCAGATAATGCCAGTTTCTTGTAGCCTTACAAATCTATCAGTGATTTTAACTACTGTTATTTAATTATGTTCCTCATAAATTTGTCACTGTCAGCGGTGGTCATTTAAGAAAATAACCACTATATGAGGTTTCACTTAACGTATTTTTTTTTCAAATAAATAACTCATGTTTGTGTCTTATATTCCCAAGATTATCACATTTAGTATTACATAAATTTTATTAATTATTCACAACTATATTTCTATTTCAAAAGCAATTTATGAAAAAACCATTTGAAATTTTCTTCATCAAACTAATAATGATGAAAATTAAAATATCCATAAAAATGTTTGCTTATAATGTGTTTTAACAAAATAGGACAAAATGTTTAATGTATCAATGTGATTCAAGTCTCATACTTGTACAGAAAAGGGACCAGAAAGAAAAAAATAATGTAAGTTACTATATGATCATCTAAAATTTCACGCAATTTTAGTAATGCAAAAAAGATTCCTTGGCTTGTATGTCTTGCCCATCTTATCCAATAACTAATACACACATTAAATATTTCAGTGTTTACTTTACTATAAATATTTAACTTTTTTTTCAGAGAAATATAATGAGCACATTTTTTAAGACATAAAAAATTATTCTTTCTGCTCAACTATATCACATTAGTCGAAAAAACTGAAAACTGAATAACGCGAGATCTTTTTTAAAACGCATGCTCAAATTTATTAGTACATAATATTCAAATAATGAAACATCTACATGAACAAGCTTGAAACTTTATTTCTAAATTATAATCAAAGAACAAGTTTTCAAAAATACAATTTCAATATAATGCAAAACATATGTTTGTGCATCTGCTGTAAACACACTGAACCAAATTATCAAGTCTGAAATTATCACTTTTCAGTTTTTTAGCACATTGCTTTTTAGGATAAAAGCAAAGATGAAAAATCAGTTTTCACGCAGTATTTTATTAATGAAGGATTTCCATTTCAGAACTATTCAACTCTCAGCAACGGTCGCTCAAACGTTAGACTCCATTACACGTGCATGGCTTTATTGGCATTTCCTTGCATATTATTTTATATTCATGATCAATGCTGGTATTTTGTTTTTCATTATAAACATCTAGACAATAAATTATAGTAGAAATATTATTTATTGCATTACTACAACCTGCTATCTACCAAGATCATAACGCAAACATCCTTACAACATTAATAAGAATGGCGTCATATTGCTTGTTTGGAAAACTTCTGAAAGTGAGGGGGGGAGGGGAGAATTTTTTCCCTCACGTCAGCGTAACACGAATAAAAACCGTTTGTGTGAAATACACAAATATAATTGTAATATAATTGTGGTTGCATTAAAGAGATGATGGTTAATACTGTTGTTTATTTGTACTATTGGAAATACTGAAATGTGCTTATATAAGTGTGTGTTTGCTTGTGTGTAATCGGAGAACCAACTTTTGGTAATACCATCTTCCCAAGATGACCGCCTCTGAGAAAGACCAGTATTTTCTGAAAACATAAGTATATGTTGGTAGTGAACATTCTCTCTGTGAGACGACCACACGAAAATTTTGAAAGCGTGGCTGGTCGCCTTAGAGAGGCTCATTTAGTAGATGAAGCCTCTCCAAGACGACCACTTCTAAGAGATAAACGTATTTCTTAGAACATAAGTATATACTGGTATTGAACATCACCTATCTAACCCGGCCGACTGTAAAAAACATTTTTATGTGTGGCTGTTCGCCTTAGAGAGACCTCATTGTGTGTGGGTGTATGGATTACTGGTATTATTTCCGACAAAAAGGTTTTAAAAAACAATTAAATGAGCATATATAGTGAACCTTCTCTAAAACGACCAGATGCGTTTCCAGGTTACTCCGATGGTCTTAAAGAAGTCAAATTTAATGCTCATATTTTATTTATATTCTTAGAAATACTGATCGTCTTACAGAAGAGGTGGAGATGAGAGGGTTCATTGTAAGTTTTCTAATTTTAAACCTTCCTGTTGGTTACAAAACAGAAATAAACTTAATTTCAACAGTACCAAATAAAGGAAATAAAAATAAATAAATCAATAATTAATTTTAAATAATTAGTAGACAAGAATACCAAAGAATTTCGGTTTACTGATACCGGTATTAATTTTTATAGTTTACAAGAAGTCTATTGAGATTAGTTAGAAAATTAGTATAAGCACATACAAACCAGTAGAAGATTTATTTGGCATCCATTTCAATTATATTATACCAGTAAAAGTCAATATAAACCAATACAAACCAGTAGAAAGTTCTGATATTGATGTTGGTTGTATGGGTGTCAGTAAGAAAAATCCATAGAGATCAATAGAAACCAGCAAAAGTCAGTATAGACCCACAGAATTCTATGGGTACCACGAGAACGTTTTACTGGTTTCTATGGAGCATTTTGAGACCAGTAAGAAAAACCCACAGAGACCGAGAGAAACCAGTTAAAGTCAGCAGAAAACCATAGAATTTTCTGGGTACCCATAAAAAGTTTTACTCGTTCCTATGGGGCATTTTGGATCTTCATTATTTAATTTCTTTAAATATAACACAGGATGATAATATTTGGTAGCAGCAATTTAAAACGTGAGTGCTATTAGTTTCAAAATGTCGTTTTTAAACTAATAGCACTCTGGGCTACCGTGCCTTTGGACTACTAAAAACATGAATAAACTATTGCAGAGCTCTGTATACTAATTGGAGCATTTTATGAGCTTTTGCATCTGTTTATTTGAGAAGTAATCAAATTTTAACTGGCTTCTTTCAACTTACTACAGCAAACATAGAATTGAAAAACGAAATTACTCTTTTAGAGAATTTATTTTTAAATTAGTGCTTAATAATTAAAATTAATTTAGAGAATTTACTTTAATTACTAGTGCTTATTTTTTAAGACATTATATCGTTTTTCCGGGCCACCATAATTCTTCCGATCTCATTCTGGATAATAACTTCTTTACCCTGTTT